CGATGTTGTCGCTTTACGCTCACGTTGGCCAGAGTTTGTAACTGGAGTAAGATGTACCTGCTGTCATTTTTCTATTGTCTTACGGTTTTAGGACGAGTCCGTTTAACTTAAATTTTAGTTAATTTGTATCTTCATTGTCTACAATTATTTTTCTGATGATGCCTTAATCGGCAAAAGCATTTGACTAATTTTTAAAATGAAGTGAAATTAATTAAATAATTTTTCATATAGACACTTATAATCTTTCATTTTCTCCTAGTTTCTATTTACTTTATTTAATAAATAGGCAATCTAAAACAAATGTTACAAATTTGATGCTTAATAATGGATTTACAAGTGATGCAGAACTTTTTATTAAAAATAATTTTTTGGATAGAACTTTTTGGAACTCACTGTATACACAGGGACGCATGTTTGATTTATAAGAGTAACTATGCCTGAAATGTTTTGTCTCATAAAGCTAACGAATTATTATTAATCCAAAACCAGTACGCGAATAACCTAACATTAAAAAGACAATGTAAGTTTCCCAACAAAGAAAATATATTTTGTTCGCAGTTTGTCTTCTTTATTGGCAAAACAAAGAATAAAAGTATTCGTTAACGGTATTGACCTAGTGTTTTTCTTTCACAAAATATCCTCTTCATTACTCCATAAGGCCCTGCAGGAAAGATAAGGACCTTCTATTATATCATATTGTCTGTTATCCACTAATTCCAAACGAAAAATGCTGAGATGGCTTATTTGGCCAACTTCGATAATTTTTTCGTTACATTTGGTAAGTGTAATCCATTCTGATATTTATCAGAGATTAGTTTAGATTTTTTGCTGAGAAACTTTGCAATTTGTTACTTTCGCTATAGATAAATCTTAATTAACTTTTGATTAAAATAACAATGTAGTTGGACGAAAAAAAGAAAAGTAGTATCTCTCGTATGCCCTTAAGTTTTTATTTAAAAAACGCTTGGCCATAGGCATTTGACATATTCCATTTTACGTAATATTCATTATTATTTTTTGTTGTTAGTTATTGACATTTAATTTTTAACATCTGAAGCAATTGTAAAGTCTCAATCTTACCTTGGATATTAATAAAAAAACATCAAACTACGTACAAATAACTTAAAAATCATTTATTAAAAAAAATTCTATATTAAATCTAAATTAAATTAGGCGAGCAATAAAGCTTTCAAGTTTTCCGCTCGGCGAGCGACAAAGTTGTCACTTAATAGAGAGTTGAAGTGTTTACAGTACGTTAACGTAAACGTGAACGTCAACGCAGAAAAATAATGTTTACGTTGATGACCAAAATATGAGTTGAAGTTTTTAAACGCATCGTGACATTTACGTGTCTTGACAGATAATGACAATTAATATTAGGATTTCTTCTTTCCCAATTAATAAGAGGTTATTTTATTTGCGTTACGTACATACGCTAGAGCCCGTAAGCTTACGTATGTACGTAGACGTGAACGTGGAGAATATTTGAAGACGCATGCGCAGATGTCAGTTTTCACGTATACGTTTACGTTCATAGCTTCACTTCAATTTTCTATTATCTGTTCGCGGAAAACGTTAACTTTGTGATTGAATTTCACAGCGCAAAAGCCTACTTTAGATAGTGATCGTAGAAAAAATTAATTATAGACGAGATGGCCCGATTAAAAGAAATTGAATTTCTTAGATTGTCTCCTGTTAAATCCGTTTTAACTGATCTGGTCATAATTAATAGTTTATGTGCTCAATTTGCTCTTGAAATCAGTTTCAGATGTAAATGGAGAACATTGGAGAAAATGCATTGATCATGTTAAAAAGGTGGAAAATTTATTTTGGAAAGTGGATAAAGTAATGGAAAACCTAATAATATTATAATAAAAATACTTCCCCAAATTCACTTCCTTACGAGTTAATTTCAACCCCTGAAGCCTATTGAGCTTGTGTGGGGAAGGAATGGCTATTATTATTATTTGCCGTAGCGCTCCGAGGCGACTTAAAGATAATCATTACTTACAGGTGAGAAATCCCGGTAAAACCTCACCCACTATCATCAAGACAGTAACGCATGGCGACTTATAATCTGCATGTCATATCAGAAATTAAATTTTTGTTAATACGTCACACATCAAATCCTATTCGCTCAGTGAAAAGTCATGGTAGGAGAAGCAAAAGCGATACTAGCGCTAGTTGAGGATAATTCGTGCATTTTAGGGCGATATTTTGTAATTTTAGCATATCAAATACATGTATACATTTTACTTTTTTTTTTAAGTAGATAAAAACAATACAATAAATAACCGGAGTTGCTGTGTTGAAAATTGTAAAAATACAAGCAAAAAAAACTAAGTAAATTATAAAAATGTTCAGTAGCAAAGTGGAAATTAAATAAAAAAAATAAATGGATATGTGTACAATAAAAAGAAAAATTACCTTTGTTTTTGTAATAATAACAGTTTAGTTCGGCTTCAATATGATTCTGATATTGCTTATGGGCAACAAAATTATCTAATTTGAACTTGGTTCTCAAATTTTTAAATATGTCAAGATCCGTAGCATTATTAGTTTTCTTATAAGTTTTCCAAGCGCTATTTTTTAAATTTAATGTATGGATTAAAGATCCATTGAACCATGCTGGATATATTTTTTTTGTAACTTTTTTTTAGGAACACACTTATCGAAAATGCTATAAATCTTATCATAGAACCTATCTAACGCTGAGTTGACATCAGTTTCAGTAGTTAAGAAACCCTATTTGATTGACAATAAATCAGTATACAAAGAATTGAAATTGGCTTTCCTAAAATTGTAAGAGTGAATATGTGGCACAGGAGGGACTGCAGTATCATACTTGTATTGTACACTGACTTCGAGTGAGGGGTGATAACTATCGACAGGCTTAATCAAGGAAGACACACAAGTAACATTACAAATTTCAGTTGCAAAAATAAGATCGAGTAATCGTCCATCATCATTGGGAACATTATTATATTGAGAGAGATTGAAAAAATTGGTAAAATTATTTAATATTTGCATTTTGGGTGAGTTTTCGCGTCTGACGTATTCTAGTATGTTAAAATCACCAAATATGATAAGAGGAACATCATGTATGATCTGTAGATACTCTATTGAGTCTAGTAATAAATCGTTATCATTAACATATGTACGAGGGGGAATGTATATAACCATAATAAATACGATAGATTTACCTACTTTAAGTTTACAGAGTAACACATCTATAGACCTAACATCTGAGAAAGGAGGATGTTCTAAATATATGTCAATCACAGATAACTGTATTTTTTTGCTTGTAGCAAGTAGAACACCTCCACTTTTAGAAGTATTCATAAAGGCGTGGTCCCTATCCTTACGGCCTACATTATATAGATTAGGGTCAAATAGCTCGGCATCATAAACACTATCATTTAACCAAGTTTCGGTAACTGTCACAATGTCGTGCTCAGGAGCGACTTAACCATACTGAATATAAAAATTTTTACATTTGCCTAAAATACTCCTACAGTTTTGGTAATAGATTTTTAGACAATCGTTAGAAGTCCAAATTTTTTTGTTATTCACGCCTAGTTTAGGTCCACCAGTTGCAAACGGTCGATGCTATTTTATGCCTAACACTGACGTCACAAAAGACTCATGTGCATTTAAATAGACAGTACAGTTCTTGTCCCACGCAGCATGATTTGTTTTGACCTTTTGTACACCAATGCGCTTATTGAAGTTTACATAATTGATACAAGTGAAATTTTGTTCATCACAGTCCTCAAGTTTATGATTAAGTGAGCATTTAGGACAAATCGGATCAACCATAGAACATTTATTTGCAAAGTGATGAAAACTGCAACATTTGTAACAACGTCTCATGTCAATAGCCTCAAATACCATATTTCTCGTACATCGAGCGCCCGACGCTTTTTTCACAATAATACTAGTATTTTCCATTTATTATTGTTTTAAGCTTATTTGAAAAATTATTTTTAACTTTTTAGTTTGATATGCTCTAAAAGCGTGTTTTTTAGTTTTTTTAAACTATATTTATTTTTAAAATAATAATTAAATTATTCTATTTAAGTAATTTATAATATAGGTTTCCTTCTGATTCTGTTACTTTAAAAATGAACGTAATTCTAGTAAGTTCAGCTTTTATACCACTAACTGTTACTATACTATATTTTTTTGTTGATCTAATTGTATGCGTTATTAGCCTACATGACTTACTGCTTTCTCTTATACTGCTTGTTATCATGGAAAATATTAAGAACCAATAGATATGTTATATTAAGCTATAATAAATATGGTGCAGAAGTGATCTAAACACAAAGTAATGGCAGTTAACCAGTTTAAATCGACTAGAATATTGTTAATTTTAAGCCAAATTTTCAAAATGTTTCTAACAGAATATTTTTTTTGCAGTAAAATTGACTTCCCGTGAGTATGTTCCTAAACATACTATTACACAGGTTTTTGGTATCACAATTTATTTCAACTAAACTTTAACAATAACAATGCAACTGATAACATTAACGTATAACGTATATCATAAATCTGAAAACTGACATGAGGATCACCCTGATGTAGCTTGTTTGACCCTTCTCGGACCTTCTCGAACTGTCATAAAGAATATTCTTGACGGCTAATGACATTTCCAGACATTTATCTGTAACTATTCTATCTTCTTTTACTTGAACTTTTACCTATGACGACCACAGCACACTGTAGGACGATAAGTCATATTCCACTTCTTTTTCTATCTGTACGTTTCCTATAATAGCCGCTGGCTACTTCAGGGTGCTGCGTAACAATACGTATGCAATCTGTTAAAAAAAAAGGTTATTTTATAAAATATACTTTTATATTTATTAATTGATTTAGTTTTGGTTATATTTAAAGAATATTTATGCTAGTCGTAATTTTTTTCAAGTAAATAATACATTTTTCATTTTTATTATACATATATTTTTCGAAAAACTGTTAGTGTTTCTTTGTTTCAGGAGAACACCCAGCAGCAATGCAACACGGCGGCCAGCTCCGGCTAGAGTATCCTTTGTCTGCCGTCCTCCTAAGCATCCTTGTTGCTGTAGCAGCGCCATAAAATCCGGTAGTAAAATGACCAGCAAAATGATGTAAATAGTAGATATTAAGAAGTGAACGAGGCATGTAACTGGATGCACACTCGCATACAAATGACAATTTAAAGTTTATTGTTATGTGGAATTCCACAGTGTACATATATATCTGCATCGTGTTTTAAGAATGAATTTTGTAAATGTGTCCTCAACAAAATTCAACTAGGCTATATGATTTGACTGTTAAATACATGTTTTACTGTGTTAGGTTAGTATTCAATTTTATTATTTTTTTGCGGTTGTATGAGAATTAAAAATTAAAATTTCTCATTTTAATTTTTCGCGTAAAGTTTAATCGAACATATTTTTGTTTTGTTTTCAACAAAATAACTTTCTGACCCAAGCAAAATTTCATATATTTTTGTTTTTTTAGGAAGTAAGTACATTTTATTCGAAATTTCGTCAACTGTTACAAAATGTTGTTTAAAAAAAGTTTTTTTATTTTTAATCAGAGGACATTTTGAAATATAAAATATCAATATTTTTGAGATATTTGACAAATTATGTACGTATTTTTAAAAATAAATGCACTGTAGGCGAATAAAGCAATTGAACTGCATTTTTTGATTTTATCTAGGATGACTGCTATAAAATTGTGACTTTTAAAATGTCCTCAGATCGGGCTTTAAAACAGTAGTAGTTTTTTCTCCTTTAACCAATGGACCCCGCACATTGCTTATGGAAAAGTGGCGACCTGCTAAACGTCATAAAATTTTAATATTTTGCAGTTCTCGACCTCCTAAGCAATAGTGTTTATGGGACTATTTAAATCCTATGACTGGTTTTTGAGATACAGGGCATTAAACTTAAGAAATACCACTTATTTGAAAACGGTTATTTCAGGAGAAAGATAATCGATTATAATTTTTTGTGCAAAATCTTATTGTAACATGTTTTGGCATTCTAGAAATATAAAAGGGTATTTCACAATTATTTTCCTTTACAGGGTGGGCCACAAATAAGTAAATACTTTTATTGTTCTAGAAGGTGAAATTATTTACTAAAAAATAAATTTTTGTTATATTTATCATGTCTAATGATAATACAAAAGGTATTGGGTGCTATTTATACAGGGTGATTTGTAAATATCGACATAGGTCAATATTTTTTTATATGTATTAATGTGAAACGCAGTATTTTTGAGGGACTTTTGTGAATTTACGATATATACGATTATATATTTATTAAGTACAGGGTAATTTAATAAATATATAGAAAGTTAATTCATCAAATGTGTCAAAAAAACAATTTGTTTAAGCTCCCTATATTTTTTGATTATTCCTGTAAAAGTATACCTATTTTTTCACTGACGTATCATACATCCTACAGAAAATATTTTCTATAATTATAGCTTTTTTTTTATGATTGGCTTTTGAGATACAGGGTGTTAAACTTAAGAAATATCACTTATTTGATAACGTTTATTTCAGGAGAAAGTTAATCGATTGTAATTTTTTGTGCCAAATCTTATTGTAACATCCTTTGTCTTTCTACGAATATAAAAAGAGGTCAAAAATTATTTTCTTTTACAGGGTGAGCCACATATTACTAAGGACGTGTTTTTGATAATTACTTTTATTGTTCTAGAAGGTGAAAATGTTTCCAAAAAAATAAATTATTGCTATATTTATCATGTCTAATGATAATTAATACAAAGATATTAGGTATTAATGTGAAAGGCAGTATGTTTACGGGACTTTTGTGTATTTATCAATTTACCATAATATCGAGGGGTTCGAACGAAAACCCTATAACTGACAAAATCATTTTTTCGACATAATTGCAATTAAAGGTTTTAGTAACTTTGAAGAAGATATAAATTCTATATAGTATGGTTTATTAAACGTTTATTATAGCCAAACTAGGTAGATAATAAAATAATTAGTTGAGAAAATAAAACAACTCCAAATCAATCCCACATATAAATATATTAATTAATCAAGGCGACCGGTTTCGGCTACAATGCCATTTTCAAGCCTATAACAAGTTGAGTGATATTTTAACAAAGTTGGTAATATTAGCTAGACATTATACATACCTAAGATCTTAGCTGGTTTCTAAAGGTGAAATACAATTGTAGATACACTAAATCTACTATATAAAATTTAACTTAACATATGAGGTGCAAGAGGTACAGTTGATATTAAAGAGTAATGTTTAAATGGGATTAAAGTTACACTAAGTAAGAATTTTTTAAAAAATTATTGCTATAATTATTTAAATGTATGTAGGAGAGGAATAGAAGAAATTGAAAAATTGAAGAGAAGGTAGTCGCCCCAGAATGGGGTGATCCATTCAAATTGTTTTTGAGGTTTCCACAGATTGGGCTTTTGGATGACCGCGGAATGGTATTGCTCTAAAATTTGTTGTGGAGCTAGTAGAGGACAGATAGAATGGCCAATCTGGCTATTCCAATCCTTGAAGTGGAATCTTAAACTGCAATCGTCATTAAGAAGCCCGGGAATTAAAGTGGATTCACCACCAGTAAAAATTATAGTGCCATCCAATTTGGCCTTAAATACAAGCCGCCCAACTAAGGGTAGAAAGATGAGAAATAGTTGGAGAAAATAGGAGTGAACCTGCAGACTCCTTTTTGGTTTCCACAAAAGCCACATCTGTGAAAGTGGATAACAAATTCTTAGACGAAACACTTTGTAAAACAAACTGAATCAATTTCGAAATGAAGGCTGAACAATAATGTCGCACCATACATAAAATGGCGGTTACACTAACATGGGCAAAGTGCGCATGTCAGTTTTGAAGTTAAATTAAAAATTAACAATACGAAATGGAATATACAATTAAAAATTAAGGTCAGTCAGATTATGAATCTAACCGTTACAAATACATATAATAAAGAAAATATCTTATTTGATAAATAATTAAAGATATAAGTGATGGGGCAGAGTAAAAATGAGTATCTAATTACATACCCAGTTGCTTGTTTCCTGATTAAACTTTATCAGTCATAAGGAAAGAAGAAATGACAGATTGACTGAATAATGATAGGTGACATGTGCGCTGACATTAAATAAATAAATGATTAAGTGAGGTTAGATTGGCTAAAATAGAACTAACACCTATGGATAAATAAAAACAAAACGAGAGGTTAAAAGTTTAGATTTAGAAAAATGTAATTTTCAAAAGGTTGTATTTGTTCATTAACACAATTAACACTATTATTGACCATTGCTTTATTAATTTCAGCAAATTCTAGTAAATCCATTCTATGGCCTTTAGTACATTGATGAATAAGAGTGGTGTTCCTTATATCAAAGTTATGTTTCTCTGTTAATAAATGATTAACAAACGAAGACTGTGTGTTAGAAATGTCAGTATTTTTATACTTATCAAATAATCTACAGTGTTCTCGGACTCGATCGATAATTCTGCGGCCACTTTGGCCAACATAGACAGTGTTACAAGTGGAGCACCTAATTTTATAGATACCGGATTTATTAAAATTTGAAACAGCGTCTTTTGTGTTAATAAAAATACTAGATAATTTATTATTGGTTTTAAAGGCTATTTTAATGTCATATTTTTTAAAAATGTTGAAAATTTTATAAGAGAAGGTTGAACAGAATTTCAGAGAACCTGCATATTTAATATTACTGTTATCTACTGAAGGAATAGAAAAGTTAAGTTTAAATTGATAATAAAGTTTAAAATATATTTTCATAATGAAGTCGAGGGGGTAACCATTATTAATAGCAAGTTGCTTAATTAAGTTAATTTCATTATTAAAGGATGATTGTGATAAAGGCAAAGCAAAGGCTCTATAAAAATAGCTATTAAAGGCTGACAATTTATGTGAAGAAGGGTGATTGGAGTGATAATTAATCAAGCAGTCCGTTGTAGTAGGTTTACGGTAAATATCAAATTCTAGTTTAGCGGTGGTAATATTTCTTGTGATAATTAAATCTAAAAATGGTATACTCCCGTTTGTTTCAAATTCAATAGTGAATTTGATGCGTGGGTGAATGGTATTAACATAGTTCAAAAATTCAATCGCCTCTGAAAGTCTGCCCTTAAAAAGAATAATACAATCATCAACATACCGGTGGTAAAATATAATATTCTCCTTAAAGGATGGGGATGATAAATATATAGTCTCAAGATTATTCATAAATATTTCTGCCAGCAGAGGGGATAAGTTAGAACCCATAGCCAAGCCTGTAGTCTGTTTATAGAATTTATTATTGAACTGGAAAAAGTTTTGTGAAAGTGCTAGTCCTAGGAAGGAGCAAATATCTAAAATGAAATGAGTTCCTAGTGATTTTTTAAAAAGAAGGTTTCTAACTAAAGTGATGCATTCCTCTTGGGGGATGCTAGGAAATAAGTTAGTAACATCAAGTGAAAATAGAAAACATCCATTCGGGAGGGTGATGTTTGAAATAGAATTGGCTAGATGAATGGAATTCTTGATTGACATAGACATTATAATATAAACTCACAAATAGTACAGGCTAATACCAATAACATAGCAGTTAAAGATGTAATTAATCTAAAAAAGAAACTTAAAGAACAAAACTTAATTACCTCAAAAGCAGATAAAGGTAATTGCATTGTCATTTTAAATAAAGAAGACTATTTATTTAAAGTTAATGAATTTATATGTTCTGATAGTTCTTTCACTTCACTTAAGTCAGATCCTACAATCACTTTCCATACTAAACTCAGGACCTCAATTAAACAATATTCTAACACATTATTAAACTTCAAATCCAGCACATTCTCGTTAGTAAATATGTTACCAAAAACACCACTTTTATATGGTTTACCAAAAATTCATAAAGATAATATCCCCATTAGACCAGTAGTTAGTTTCAGAAATTCACCTACCTCCAAACTTTCTTCATTTCTTAACAAGTTATTGAGGGAACTAACTAATTTCAACAACACACATGCAATCAAGAATTCCATTCATCTAGCCAATTCTATTTCAAACATCACCCTCCCGAAT